TATTTCTCTCCAAACTGGCTCTGTTTGTGTGTCTGAGTCGTGAGCTGAGATGAGGAAACACGTGTATGGTATTTCCTGGAGTCGTGAGCTCTATTTCTTCGGTGATGCATATGTGAACTTTCTGCGCAGGGGCGCCCCCTAGTATCCAGTATGAATGAAACAGACATTACATGTGTTCATAGCACTAAATAATGGCCAATCTATAAAAGAAATACTTCTCTCAAAATAAATTTAAGGTAGACATGTGATAATCCATGTTTTTCTAGTGTACAACAATGTGCTGGAGTTTTACTTAAAGTATACTGGAGTTTGTTTTTTTTAAATAGCATTTAAAATCGCTAAAAAGAACTCTGTTGTGCCAAACCATCAGAACCAAACTGAAAACTGTGTTTAAAAAACTGAGGTATTTATTGAACCTTGGGCTTAACTGTATTGTTGCAGTCCTACTGTTTACTCTAAAATACTGTATAACAGGAATATCACAAACTGAGTGCAGACTCTGAGTAGTAACCTATGAAAAGTATTTTACATGAAACCTAGCATTTTGCACATTGTGCAATTACGATTTTGACATTAGCCATCAAGGAGCTTCAAGTAATGTAGTAATAGGCTATATGACCCCCGGTATCGCCCAATATCAAAAAAAATTTTACCTTCCTGATAGTCTTATGTCTGAAGAACACAAGAGAGATAAAGGTTTATGAAAACTCTGCTTCATGCATCTTGATTCCCCCATGCAAAAATCACTTAGGTTCCTCCGGGGAGTAATTTGCTCTTGCAGGCTACTGAAACAGACACAAGCCTCGTAGAGTATTAAAATGTATTCAGCCCGCATGTGTGCGCGTGTGGATGCTTTTCATAATGTGAAAACGAAGCAGGAATGGAGATGGTGTAGAAAAGACTGTATAAAGTATGAGACTGGTAGGCAGAGGTGGGGGTTGTTGCTTGCGGGGTGGGCTCACTGTGGCACTCTGGGTTTTTGTTCCTGGCAGGTTGGACAGGCCTTCACTGTGAAGATGACATTAATGAGTGCTTGCTGCAACCATGCAACCAGGGAATGTGCATCCAGAATGAGCCTGGCCATGGCTACACCTGCTTCTGTCGGCCCGGATTTGTGGCAAGTCGCACTGAGTCCCCCCTCCCCCTTCCTTCTCCTCCCTGAGCTCTTCATCTTCCCCTGAGGGGATTTTGAGAGAGACGCAATCCTGTTTGTATTTCTCCTGTCAAGTATTCACCATCCGTTTGTTTCCATTCCAATATTGTAATGGCCTTTAAATATCCTTGACGTCCTCAGGCAGGTAGGCAGCAAAGTTCTTTAGTATTCAACATGCCAGTGGTGCTTTTCAAGTGCGGGGAAGCACAGATGTCACTTATCAATGGCAGAATGTGCATGCCATTAACCTATTTTTGTATTTTTGTTTCTGCAGTGTTGCTTGTCGAAGTACCACTAAACAAAAAGATGAGCAATAAGATATTATATAAATGCTAATCTAACTACTCTAATCTTAAAATGGAATTGCAGGTATAATATTACAATATATATTATATATATTACAATGTATGTGTGTGTGTGTGTGTGTGTGTATATAGGCCTATATACATATACACAGTTAGGTCCATATACAGTATATTTGGACACAGGCACAATTTTTATTATTTTAGCTGCTGATCAAAACATATTAAAGTTACAGTTACTGTATATGATGAATATGGGCTCAAAGGGCACACTCTGATCTTTAATTTGAGGGTATTCTCATCCAAATTGGAGGAACGGTTAAGGAATTACAGCTCTTTAATATGTACCTCCCCCTTTTTCAAAGGACCATAAGTAATTGGACAATTCACTCAAAAGCTGTTTCATGGACAGGCGTGTGCTATTCTTTCGTTATTTCTACATCAATTAAGCAGGTAAAAGGTCTGGAGTTGATTCTAAGTGTGCCATTTGCATTTGGAAACTGTTGCTGTGAACCCACATCATGTGGTCAAAGGATCTCTCCATACAAGTGAAACAGACAATTGTTAGGCTTCAAAAACAAAACAAATCAATTAGAGAGATAGCAGGAACATTAGGAATGGCCACATCAACAGTTAGGTACATTCTGAGAAAAAAAGAACGAGCCAAGTGAAGAACACTCTCCAGGAGGTAGCCATGTCACTTTCAAAGTCTACAATCAAGAGAAGACTTCACGAGAGCAAATACAGAGAGTTCACCACAAGTTGCAAACAAGGCTTGATTAGACTTTGCCAAAAAAACACCTGAAAAAGCCAGACCACTTCTGGAAAAGCATTCTTTGGACGGCTAAAATTAAGATCAACCTGTACCAGAATGACGGGAAGAAAAAAGTATGGAGAAGGCTTGGAACAGCTCATGGGCCAAAGCATACAACATCATCTGTGAATCATAATGGAGCAGTGTGATGGCATGAGCATGCATGGCTTCCAGAAGCACTGGGTTACTGGTGTTTAGTGATGACGTGACAGAAGACAGAAGCAGCCGGATGAATTCTGAATTGTATAGGGATATACTGTCTGCCCAGATTCAGCCAAATGCAGCAAAGTTGATTGGGCGGCGTTTCATAGTACAAATGGACAATGACCCAAAACAAACAGCAAAAGAAACCCAGGAGTTTTTGAAGGTAAATAAGTGGAATATTCTGCAATGGCCAAGTCAATCTCCTGATCTCAATCTGATTGAGCATGCATTTCACTTGCTGAAGACAAAACTAAAGGCAGAAAGACCCACAAACAAACAACAACTGAAGTCAACTGCAGTAAAGCCCTGGC